ATATATTTTTATTTTTACTAATTTGACCAAGATTAACTTTGTATAAAACAAATGTGGCCCGTGAATATTCAAGCAAATATTCACGTGAACCTGAACTATTATGATATATAATATATTACAAATTATAAAAATTAAATACATGAAATTAAAGTGGGCATGCTTGGACATAAAATAACAATAATATCATTATGATTTCCACGATTTAAGAGATACATAAAAGTAAAATAAAATAAATTAAATTAAAGCATTCATATTTTCAAAGAACGTAAACTTATTTTTGAAAAAAAAATATGAATTTGAACGTGAATGGGCTCCTTTTTTGAACACTGAACTGGAACGAATTCATTCTTTTGGTAAACGTTCCAAACACTGTTTTAGCAATTATAACTTATAATCTAATATTGGTGATGAAATCCTAATAACCTATTACATTATTCTGTAATTTTAAAATTAGTTTCCATTTTATACCTACATGTGTTTTGTTGTGTATTATTTATATTAAATTTTATTTCCATATTATTCAAATTAGTAATTACAAATACTGGCTACTGGTTGGGTTATTCAGACTACAAACTTTATTTGAAAGTTTACATTCTACAGCAATAAAAGTTATAACATAATCTCCATTTTTTAATTAAAATTATTTATTAGGTACATAATATATTATTATTCCAAATCAGTTTCACATAGGTAATTTTTTGTAATTTAAATTAAAAACATTTTAAAATGTTGGATGTGTATTGAAAACTAAAAATTGTTCTAATTTTAATGTTTTGAAATTTGTTTGATATTCTTTAATTAATTTAAATGAGACAACAACATTAAAATCATTATAATTTTTTCAATTATTTGTTTATTTTAACGTTGTAAACCTATATGATAAATAGTTACAAATGCTGTAAGCCATATTATGAAAACGTAATCCTCAAGATTTTGATTTTGATGATGGTACATTGTTGTAACCCAGATGCTGAAAGCTGAAAGGTAATCAAACACCGTACATTGAATAAACAACAAATGCAGTTAAACCGAAAAACCAGTTATTCAATGCTGAAGAATAACAGCATATGCTAGAATATGCTGAATATCTATATCAAAATATTAATACAATTTTATCCAACAGCTTATATTATATAAAAAAAAAATGTATATATTAAGGGGCTATGACGATTGAGGGTTATCATTGGCATTAGCTGTATATTATTATTACTTGCTAATAGTTTGTAATTTTTAGGTATTGAAAATATTTTCCACCAAACAATAATTTTTTTTTTATTGCATTTTGAAATATAAAATTTAAATTTAAATTACTATTTTAAGATCTGTTATCAAAAAAAATAGTTAAATAATAAAAACTTGGAATACAATCCCAACAATCCCAAATGCTGTGACCCCAATACATTATCACAAACGTTCATTATGCAATCATAATACTGTAACCTCGATTATGGCATAAATAAAGCTAAATTAACAATATAAATAACCATTACCAACTTTCAATTCTTAAGATTATTGATTATCCAGATACCTCATTAAAAAAAAAATACCAATGAATTAGATATAAAACGATTATGTAGGTAAATGTGTTGTTTAAAGTTTTTTCTGTAAATTTTTGTTATCCAGATACCTCATTAAAAAAAAATACTAACGAATTAGATATAAAATGATTATGTAGGTAAATGTGTTGTTTAAAGTGTTTTCTGTAAACTTATGTTTTTATGGATTGCAACACTTAGGCTTTTAACCATTGATTAAATTCAAGTTATAACTAGTATTAACTTCATTTTTAAGTTTCACTATATTTTAAGTAACTGGGAAGTTTGTTTTAATTTTTTGAATACATGTTATATCTTAACTCATATTTTGCATAACTGCAAAACGAACATTTTTATTTAACTGTATCTTCATTTGAAATACATTTTCAAAGTCCCGGGCTTATAATCAAAGTAAAATAGTTTAATGCTTCATAATAATATTAGTATAAAATATTAAAATTTAAGAGATTTGGTTGTGAACAGGCTAAAAGAGCATAACATTATCAAAATAAACACTAAAAAAGAACATTTTAAATCATCAAAAATACCAACCGTTCCTTCCCAAATTCAAAAATAAAATTGGTATTTTTTTTTAAGGGGCCTGCACGCGACCTGTTTTTTTGCTCAAAAACATGCCTTACAGGAAAAACTCTCAAGCCTCGTAGATTGGTCCGATTTCCGTAATTTTTTTTGTTAGATAGAGGAAGACTTCTTACAGGGCGCATTGGACTTGGATTTCAACATTATTTTTCTAAGTCTTATGTTACAAGTTGAATTTATCAATTTTTACAACTTTTTAGTTTTTGTATTATTTTTTGTTTTTAGCGACGTAATCAAAAATCGAAGTCCAATGCGCCCTGTAAAAAATATTCTTCTAACAAAAAAAAAATTACGGAAATCGGACCAATCTACGAGGTGTGAGATTACTGTGTTTTTGACCGATATATACACCCTATCAACCCCCCCTAAATAATTGGGTCGTAGATTAGTGGAAAAGTCTTTTATTGAGGTGGCAACTAAAATATAAAATTTAATTTTCAAATTTTATAGAATTGCGGAAAATTTGAAAAATCGCGAGCAGGCCCCTAAGACTATTTCAAACGTCATTAGTTTTTGTTAGTGGTTACTGCTGGCATTGTTTGTAAGTAGAAAATATCATCAAAACTATTCATAAATTAAAAAATAAAAACCTTAAAAAGTAAAATAAGCACTCTAACCGGGGACCGCATCAGTTTAGCGACTCGTGCGCACACCTCCGGGGTCTGAGTTTGCACACCAGCCGGCCACCGGTGCCGTGTTCTGTTCCTGATTGGCTGGCACTCTCCGTTCCGTCGCAGAACACGGGACCATAACACCGTAATTCATAAGATTTTTCATTGAAGCTTATTTACAATTTAGGAGTGTTTATAAAAACAAATTCAGAGATGTAAGTCTTTGAAGCTTTGCTTCTGTTGGGGGTTCCGAGAGCCACCCTGGTTTTTATTTTTATTATTATATTTCTTTTTTGTGTGTCCATAATATAGGATAATAGTTGTATAATAATACCAAAGACTTTATTATATACGACATTATACCTAATGATATATTGTTATATAATTTATATGGGTAGTTATTGTAATGATGCGCTGAATCGATACTTTTACCTACAATTTTGTTGGCCCAGCAGGCAGTTAGACCTACCAAATACAGAGGTCTATTTTATTGAAAATACCAGTAAACAGTTATATTAAACTTGTAAATTTGGTGTTTCACAAACCCCTCCTGACCTTACCTAGTTTTTAATTAGTTAGGAGCTAATATACTTATTATAATGTAATATTAATGTTAATAATTTTTTTCTGTTTTGTGTTTGTATTTGGATTAATATCCAAGTTGTAAAGTGAGTGGACAAAGTTCTATAAATATAAACTAATTGACAATTATAGTATTTGTATTAGTATTTTCAATATGATACTAGTGTAGGTACTAGTACTATAACTATGTATTAATGCTAAACATAAAACATAAATTAATAATTTAATAATAATAATTAATATACCCTTTTATTTCTTCAAAAAAATACCATAGTTTAATATTGTAATTCATATTTATCATTATTTAAATAAATAATCATCAATGCCTAGCCTTCAAAATATTACCTTTTCTGTGGTGCTAGTATACTACTAAACATATGAAAAAAATAATAAATGAAAACCTTACCTAACTTCCTAACAGATAACAATATGACTATAATACTATATGTATACTACAATTTAAGATAGACTAATACACTATGTATACTATTATCACATATTCACATACAACATATTGGTCCAACAAATATTTCAACTTTCAAGGCAGGTTAGATACGTCATAGGTATTACATAAGGTAGGTTAGGTACAAAAACAAAATCACTTTAAAAAAAATATTTTCACGGATAAAACAAATGTTATCGTATGATGAGAAAAAATATAGAAGATTGGCTATCTATTGGTCATCGGCTAATTGGAATGTCTAACATTAACATAAATTTGTGAATGTGTTAGTTAAAACCAATAACCTAATGTTGAATTAGAACATAGTGTATTTACATGGTTATTCTGAACTGGGATTTGGTTGCCTGTTCAAAAATCCCAACTCTAGGTGATTCAAATTTTGATAATTTGTTATTTAATATTCAGTGTAATGTTGTAACAAACGCTTTAAAAATGTTCATCTTGAATCTCAAAATACTTGTTTGCACAACTTTAAAATGAGAATTTCAAAAATGCGTTCTTAGTGCACAATAACATGGTGGTACGAAGATACCGTGAAAATAGCAAGCATCAAGCTATCATACTTAATGCTCTACATTGCTCAGTCAGTGTGTAATTTTACAATATTGTAAAAATTTGGCATCTACTTATTTATATATACAGAAAAGTTAAAATTGTATGAAGTAATTTTAATGTAAGCACGGGCCAGATGAAAAAGGTATGCTAGTTCCCCATACATTTATTAATATAAATCATAATAGTTCCACTTTATTATAAACTGCTATAAAAATATAAAGTACATATAATTCACTATAATTTATAGGTATAGGTATTAAAAATAAACTTTATTTATATAGTAATACAAATTGTAATTTTTTTTTTTGATTTTGAGAAAAAGTTCAAATTGAAGTGTCATTTGTCATTACATTAATATATATTTTATAATTTGTATATATATATATATATATATAAGTATAAAATATGTATATATTTAAATATTTGTGTTACAGTTAAAGTATGAATACCGGTGAAGCCTAGGATATACAAAATAGTTTGGTCATACGCAAAATGATTTTTGTAGTTCGGACTTCACCCTGGTTTATCTTAAAACATACCAAACATCGTCTTGTAAATATTCAAAATGAAATTGTCCTTCGGGGTTTGACCAAACTATTTTTGTTTCATATCCTAAGTTACATTATAGGTTTTTAACCTGCACAACATTGGTATTCAAACTATTTTCTTAGCAGAATCAGTTTTAATTGACAGCCTAAGACTTCTTCTAAGAAAACCAAAACCATCCTCGAAAGCCTCACTTCGCTACAATAAACAAAAACAACAAATCAAATCAAATTATAAGTAACAACAGAGTTTATTATTTTAACTTACAACTCTTCCAAGTGCCTTATTAGAAATCTCTTCTCTTGCTGTTGTCTTCCTACATTTTTGCAATTCTTTTGTAGTTTTAGTTGACAGCCTAGGACTTCTTCTAAGAAAACCAAAACCATAATCGAAAGCCTCACTTCGCTACAATAAACAAAAACAACAAATCAAATTAAATTATAAGTAACAACACAGTTTATTATTTTAACTTACAACTCTTTCAAGTGCCTTATTAGAAATGTCTTTTCTTGCTGTTGTTTTTTTACATTTTCGCAATTCTTTTGTAGTTTTAGTTGAAAGCCTAGGACTTCTTCTAAGAAAACCAAAACCATCCTCGAAAGCCCCACTCCGCTACAATAGACAAAAACAACAAATCAAATTAAATTATAAGTAACAACAGAGTTTATTATTTTAACTTACAACTCTTTCAAGTGCCTTATTAGAAATGTCTTCTCTTGCTGTTGTGTTCCTACATTTACTCAATTCTTTTGTAGTTTTAATTAACAGCCTAGGACTTCTTCTAAGAGAACCAAAACCATAATCAACTTTATTAGATGCAGAACCATTATTGTCAGCAGATAAATAACAACTATTGTTATGACTTTGGTTCACAATATTTGGTGAACAAATCTTATCAAGAGAGTTTGATTTTTGAATACTTTTCTCATTTGGTTCGTTAGATGAATCAACTGTTAAAGGTGTTAAACTTGAGGTTAACAAAACTTTATTCTGGACTTTCTTTGGTGTTTTTTCTGGAGACTCCAAAACTTCAACATTAAATTCAGGAGGTACCAAAATTAGTGGTTTATCATCATTAATACACACAGTGTTATTGCATTCGATCATTGTTTCCTTTGATACTATCCATGACCCATTTAAACTAAAATTCTCTTTTAAAGTACTAACATTATCAACATTTCTTACTTTCCACATGGGTTTTAATATTTTTCTACGTTCTACTACTATTTCACCCATCTTATTATGTTCTTTTATAGATGAATCAACTGATGGACATGTTAAACTTGGGGTAAAAGAATTCTTTTTCTGAAGTTTTGTTAGTGTTTTTTCTGGAGTTTCTAAGACTTCAACATTAAATCCAACAGGTACCAAAAGTCGCTGTTTGCTATCATTAATACACAGAGTGTTAGTGCCATCAATTGTTGTGTCTCTTGATACTGTCCATGACCCATTTACATTGAAATTCTTTTTTAATGTATTGATCTTATAAGACTTTCTTACAACTTTTTCAAGTGCCTTATTTGAAATTTCTTCAGGTTTAAACATGCTTATTTCTTCTTTTGCTGTTGTATTCCTACATTTTCGCAATTCTTTTGTAGTTTTAGTTGACAGCCTAGGACTTCTTCTAAGAAAACCAAAACCATAATCGAAAGCCTCACTTCGCTACAATAAACAAAAACAACAAATCAAATTAAATTATAAGTAACAACACAGTTTATTATTTTAACTTACAACTCTTTCAAGTGCCTTATTAGAAATGTCTTTTCTTGTCGTTGTTTTTTTACATTTTCGCAATTCTTTTGTAGTTTTAGTTGAAAGCCTATGACTTCTTCTAAGAAAACCAAAACCATCCTCGAAAGCCTCACTCCGCTACAATAGACAAAAACAACAAATCAAATTAAATTATAAGTAACAACAGAGTTTATTATTTTAACTTACAACTCTTTCAAGTGCCTTATTAGAAATTTCTTCTCTTGCTATTGTCTTCCTACATTTTCGCAGTACTCTTGTAGCTGAAGTGTCTTTCGCTTTACTTATAGGTTCATTTTGTCCATCTGGTTTATTCTTGTTTCGTGTCAATACTCTTTTTTCAATAGTTTGAATTTTAAAGCTTTTGGAACTCTTATCTGGTGTAATTACGGATGTCAACGAAATACAATTTTCTACTATGCTAGATGGGTTGCTTTCTTTAACTTTATTAGATGCAGAACCATTATTGTCATCAGATAGATAACAACTATTGTTATGACTTTGGTTCACAATATTTGATGAACAAATCTTATTAATAGAGTTTGATTTTTGAATACTTTTCTCATTTTGTTCGTTAGATGAATCAACTGTTAAAGGTGTTAAACTTGTTGTTAAAGAAACTTTTTTCTGGACTTTCGTTGGTGTTTTTTCTGGAGACTCCAAAACTTCAACATGAAATCCAGGAGGTACCAAAATTAGTGGTTTATCATCATTAATACACACAGTGTTATTGCATTCGATCATTGTTTCCTTTGATACTATCCATGACCATTTAAACTAAATTCCCTTTTATAGTACGAATATTATCAACATTTCTTACTTTCCACATGGGTTTTAATATTTTTCTACGTTCTACTACTATTTCACCCAACTTATTATGTTCTTTTATAGATGAATCAACTGATGGACACGTTAAACTTGGGGTTAAAGAATTCTTTTTCTGAAGTTTTGTTAGTTTTTTTTCTGGAGTTTTTAAGACTTCAACATTAAATCCAACAGGTACGAAGAGTGGCTGTTTGCTATTATTAATACACACAGTGTTAGTTCCATCAATTGTTGTGTCTTTTGATACTGTCCATGACCTATTTAAATTGATATTCTCTTTTAATGTATTGATCTTATTAGACTCTCTTACTTTCCATATGGATTTTCCAATTTTTCCACTTTTTACTACTATTTCACCCATCTTATTAAGTTCTCTTATAGATGAATCATTTGATGGACATGTTAAACTTGGGGTTAAAGAATCCTTTTTCTGAAGTTTTGTCAGTATATTTTCTGGAGTCTCTGGAACTTCAACATTATATCCAGCAGGAGCCTGAAGTGTTAGGTCATCTTCAATTTTATTTTTTTCCTCATTTTCATTATCTTGTGTAAAAAGTTTCTTAATAAAAGGTGATGTATTTACTGATTGTACTGATTTTTCAGCCTCTATGCTGTTTTTAAACTTTTTAGTCGCAGACACTCCATGGTCTGCAGATAATGACAAACTGTTTTTATTGCATGCATTAATAGAATTAGGTGTATCAATCTGAATGAAACGAGAATTTTGTTTTTTATTTTTTTTATTTTTTGATCTATCATTAATTTTTGTAATTTTACTTCTGCTTTTACATTTATTAGAATTAATTTCTTTAAGAGATGGATTAAATGTTAAATATTTGAAATTTGGGGTTAAAGAAACTTTCTTCTGGATTTTTTTTGGTGTTTTTTCTTGAAACACCGAAGCTTCAACTTTAAATGCAGGAGGTACCAAAATTGGCGGCTTATCATTATTAATACGCAAGGTGTTGATGCCATTGATTATTGTTGATACTGTCCATGACCCATTTAAATTGAAATTCTCTTTTAATGTATTGACATTATCAAAATGTCTTACTTTCCACATGGATTTTCCGATTTTTCCACGATCTACTACTATATCACCCATCTTATTAAGTTCTTTAAGACTTTTATGGTCTAGAACTTCAAGGCCACTTTTTTTAATCTTCGAATCAACCATTTCTAACCTTTTAACTCCGTCTTTTACCATTTTAGATGAATATTTTTTCTTTTTCTGCTTTAATACTTGGGTATTTAATTTCAAGTCGTTTGGCCTATTAGGTAGTATACAATCCCCCAAACGATTATAAAATTGTGTTAATTTAGTTATTTCCCATAAACACTTTCTGGTACAATCAACTTCTGTTAAATATTTATTCAAAACCTTTGTGACGTCTTTAGGATTGAAGTTGATGCGAGGTATTTCAACACTTACATTTCCAGCTTGAAGATCTAATGGATTATCATTTTTTTCATTAGAATTTTCATTTGTTACATCACCTTCAACTGATTCTAATTCATTATTTAAATTGACTGGATCAACGATCTAACACAAAATATTGAAATTAAATTAAATTATGGAACTAAAATAATATAGAAATTAATTTATAAAATAATATTTGAAATATTATTAAATTTATAAATTTACTAGGTGATCCCGTGCACTTAGTTGCCCGTTAAATGTATTAACTCTTTGTAAATAAAACTTTGTTTAATAAGTTATTTAATATACAGTGGATGGGGTTCAAAACCTATCAAACTTTTCCGTTGCCGGGAATAAAAATTTTGATTTGCAGCATTACATTATCAAGTAGGCAATCTATCTGTGGTATATCTCGGACCCCTTGCTATTTGTACATAGGTATATGATTCAACTCTAAAGTATCTAAGTCATACCATGCTTGTCGTTTTTCCTTAATTCTGCCTAATATAAACAATGTATATTTAATCCTATCCTAACTTAACCATACTAAAATCCGATGAATAAAAAAAAAACAAATTTAACCTTTTGTAAATTAACCTATCTTCTTCCTAGAGGTTTAATCTACCCACAAACATTAATTTATACATATATATATATAAAAATAAGTATACATTTTGAACAAGTTTTATAACTCAAGATCCACCAATCCGATTTTGATAAAAATTTTAGGGCAATTAAGATTGATATGTAGATGGTTTCTGTGAAGTTTTTACTTTGTACTATAAGTGGTTCTGGAATTATTGCCTCTTGCGAGCACACCTGGCGACATGGCCAAAAAAAAAAAAAAAATTAATAGTGTATTATATTTTGGTTGCTATTTGTTAATCGGTCATGTCTGTTGATTTGTATTATTATTTTTTGTCAATATAAAATTGAATGTTTGTGTGTATATTAAACCTCTGGAAGGAGATTGGCTAATTTAAAAATGGTTAAATTAGGTTTTTTTTTCATCTGATTTTAGTATGGTTAAGTTAGGTTAGGATTTTGTAATAATTGATTATATTAATCCACAATAGGTAGAATACACAGACCAAACACTGGAACTACTTATCAGATCTTCTTGTATATATTAAATTATATATAGGTATATTGACAAAAGTTAATTTATACAAATCAAGAAGATCTGATAAGTAGTTCCAGAGTTTAGCCTGTAGGGAGATTTTCATTTCACATTTTTATATTTAGATATTATACTATAATATTTATATTTAAAAAGTAAAGCAAATAGTTTTTTTTTTGTTATTATTAATTTTATTATGTAGCCCATGGCAACCATTTATAAACAAAAGTTTCCATTGGAAATCTCAAAATTTCCATTTGAGCACCTCCCGGGGTTGGTCCTCTCCCTTTTTAAATTAGCATGTCTTTTAAGTTCTGCCAAATTACACACATTGTAAAAATTTCATCAAGATCAGTCCAGCAGTTTCAGTGTTTATCCCGGACAAAGAAGTGACACGAGATTTGTATATAATATATAAGATAAAGTCAAGTATATAATTAGCATTATTCTTTAAAGTAATAATTTATTTAATAATATTTATGTATTTAATAAACTATATAGCTATTTTAAAGTAATAAATATTAATTTCATAGAATTTTAATAAAATCCGAGATAAAATCTAATTAACTATCATTTAATCAAAAACTTTTTTTTAATTTTTCTGATACATACATTTTGTTTTAAAATTATTATAGATTTATAAGATATTTGAATTGTTGGATTCAGCTTTTCAAATATTCTTAAAAAAAGTGGTCCGTTAGTGTTTAAACAATCACTAATGTAAATATTGAGGTAAAATAAACTGAGATAGAAAATAGTTGTTAAATTACTCACTTTTTGAGAAGCTTGAAACTTAGCTGTTAATTTCTCCAAATCAGGCGATGGAGATAGAAGATTTCTAAATACATTTTGGGTAACTTCTCTGATTAACATTAAATCGTTGAGCTCAGAAATGTAATGTAGGAATGAATCTAAAATAATGACCAATGCTTCAGAAGGCACTTTTCCTCTACTTACCTAAAATATATTATATAATAAAATTTTAACAATTATATAAATAAAAATAAAAAAAATACATACTTTAGCAAGTTCTTCCAAGAAAATTACTTGTAAATCAGTTTTCAAACTAGGAGTGAACGATTTGAGGGCTCTATACAGAATCTCACTAAATTTATTCATGTACTCCAAGTTCCAATCACAGTTCACAAAGGTAAATAGTAATTGTCTTAAACAATGCCTCACCCACATCATACATGTATTGGTACGGTGCCATTTTATTGACATCCAATTATCTTTGATAGTAAGAAAAAATGCATCCAAAAAAAATATTTTACTTTGGTAAGAAGTGCAACTATGGATAAGATAACTTAACTCTTCAGTAACACTTTCCTGAAAATGTTAAAATGTATTAAGTATGATATATAGGTACATTAACATATATTAATAATTGGATCTCCAAATAAAAGTGTCCAATATTTTAACGTGTGTGCTTTAAATAAATTTAAGGCTCGGTCAAACACAAAGCGATCTGCCCGCGCGGGCACTGTGAAATAATACAACCGACCGCTGCCCACCGTGGTCAGCATACTCGTACACCATGGCAGCCCGCTCTCTTTTTGACTGAGCCTTTAATGATTCAGTTAATACACTCTAGGGTGGATTGGCTACTTTTGGTCCAGAATAGAAAATTAGTTAGGGGCTCTCATATTTTTTTTATAAACTTACTAAAATTAGGGAAGAAATCTTCATTACAATAAGAGTTAAATTTAATGTAAGGCCCAACAGTGGTATACGGGGCCCGATCATAAATAGGAATGAGGTCTCTGAGTGTTAATATTGGTTTATTGTACCCTAGGCCAGTCGGCTCTTGGATACGCTAGATATAAGCATAGACTTTACAATAGTATCAGGGTTATGGCTTAAAACCAATTGTGACTATATTTAAAGAAATTTATAATTACAGAATATTTATTAAGTAGGTATATGTTAATATATTATATTTGATATTTAAACTATAACAAATAATTGTGAATAGTTTATAATAGGTAATAATTTTCCTATACAAAATTGATGTAAAAAATAATAGAAATTTAAGTTTTTATAACTAATTCTAAATATTTAAAAGTAACAAATGATGAATAATTTATAAACATTCTGAAATAAAAAGTATCGAATGGATAGACGTTATCACGTATACATGTGTTTAAATAAGATAAACAAATTATTTACTTGAGGTACTGGTTTATCAGACGTCCACATAAAGTTAAATAATCCTCTCCATATAATCAAATAATCATTCAATTGAAATGCTGAAAAATTCATAAGTTATAATTAATATTGAATATCAACAAAAGAAATAATGTATAATAAGCAGTTTTGACTTATTTTATAAATTTAAATTTAAGATAGCAAGGTCCTAGTGGCAACATACTCTGAGTGACAATGTGACATAGCAAAAGGGGAAATCGAGAGGCTGCAATCTATGAGTTTCTTGAGGGGTGGTGGCTGGTGGCTAATGGCTGGGTAATGGTTAATAGCTGATAATTTAATATTATGACCTACACAATATATTACGATTTTAACAAATAATAGGTAAATCAAACTAATCAAAAAAATGCTGTTCTTTAAGATTTTAACTTTTTATGGAAAATACTGTAAATTGGATATCTTATATTTAACTTGATAAGTTCAGGTACCTACTTGGTATTTTTATAAAAAAAAAATCCTAGGTATGGTTACAACAAGAACCAGTCGTGGGTATCCCTTCTCATAAGAACTATTTAGTATTACTTTTCTTAAAGGTAACATAAACAATAAACATTTATAGTTTATTGGTTTTTAAACCAGAATTACATTCATTACCTATTTAACATCTTTTTTTAAATTTATTAACACTTTTATGTTAAGATTCACTATAACGTTTAATATCAAGCATGCTCATTTTCAAAACTCATGTCATTCATATTAAAAATTCACCATTGCCACCTGGGAATTTTTAACTGCATGTACTAAAGTACAAGTATCAATATCACTATTACTATTAAGAGATTGTAAGTACCCTGTGGGTACGCTTGAACAAATCACTTTATCGTGTAGAGGTATAATATACAGATACATAGGTAATATGTTAAATTATCAAAATAAAATAAATAAAGCGTAAAATATTATGTAACATACCATCACTTGTATCTTCAGAATGTTCATGTAACAGTTGTTTAATTTGTTTGATACCATCACTTCTAGTTTTAGGATCATTTGATGTCAATAACTGTGTGAGTTCTATCTCTTTTGCCACCAAATCCACTATGGCTTCTGGGACTTCGGTAGCCATTGCTTGTTCCAAAGGATTTGTTTAAATAACTGGAAACAAAAAAAGGGACCCAATTAATAATTTGTTGAAACTGAATGAAGTCTATAGGTAATAGTTTGTAACACTTTTGAAAACAACAGAGGAAACTATAAAGTAATATAAGTACATAAACCTTTAACTTCTACTTTATAACACATACTGTGAACTTAAAAGTTACAGGCTACATAAATAACCTCACCTATTATATTATAAGGTTGAGACAAGATTTTCGATATAAAAATTCGATACGTATCGGTAAGGAATAGTTAGGTAGGCACCTACCAACCAGTATCGAAGTTTGAGTTTGATACGGGTCGGTACTTATCCCTTATAATTGCAAGTGTAACTTTTTGTAAGTACACAATTTATCTGGTACGTATCGATACACAACGATTTCTTTTTTGAAAATCTTGTCTGAACTTGGATATATCTTAAATCGTGAAACGTACAACGAGCCCACAAATCAACCTTAGCTTATACTAGACGTTTGTTTACCTGAATTATTGAAACATTTATTTTCGCGTTGTTAAAATATGTGGTTACGATCACCCAATTCAGCCAAACTACACAATAGAAATTCGTTCACTGAGTTCGATCAAACTCGTAGACGTATAAATATTACCTACTCTAACCTCCAACCGGTGTGAAAAATCCGGGATGCAAGCATCATTATCCCCATACGGGATAATAATGTAGGATAATTTTAAACTGTTTAACCTAGTGAATGGAATTTAGATGGTAAATACTAAATCATGCGTCAAACTGTCACAGAATATAATGGTTGTTTGGTACATGTAGATGCGATTTTTAATTGTCGATGATAAATATTACGGAGAACGGTAGTTGCCATGGCGTCAATCACGGACTAAGATATAATGGACTGGAAATGACACGGTCGGCGGGGATCCGGGGGACCGCCTCGGAAAGGTGTCACTTAGCTGATAAGAACCATAGACCTATTAACTTAATAGGTCTTTGATAAGAACACTGTTCTTGAAGTTTTCAGTGCTACCGGTGGTTTTATTTGGCTACTCAATTTGTATCTTAGTCCGTGTTTTACCGTTTTATACAGAGGCCGCTGTGAACTCCAAGAACACATAGCGATTTGCCCCCGCATTTGCCTCTTGTACATACATTCGTCAATTCGTGGCCTTGATAAGTTGCTCGTTTCCAGCATAGATATTATAAGAATGGATAGGACACGTCTATACTGGCTTCGTAAGAAGTTGCGGTCTTTTTTGGGGAAGAGAGAAAGTTCAATATCTACAAGAGAGATAGACTATAAGAGTGCTTTTTGAGGTTAGGTTACAAAATTGTAATATTATGAATAATGATTATTAAATTATACGCTGTGTCTAGGTACCCGGGTGCCCGTGTACGCTTTACATACACGAACCCATCCGTGTATATATTCAATGCCCGGAAAAGGTCCCACAGAGTGGCAAACTTGAAAAACAATCGTAAATCATTTACAGTGATGCCATGCTAGCGGCAATCGTCGCTACGCTCCTCGGCGCCGTCGCTCCGCTCCGCAAATCGAAAATATCCCCCGATTTGTTGTGCAATACCAACTCAAGTTGGTAACAGTCGTAACCACAGAGTAACCGTCGTATAACCACACTTACCATTTTCTCTTATCACTCACGGGCACCCGGGTATCCAGAGTCCAGACACAGCGTAAATTATAATATGCAATCAATTATAATTAAAATGTTATTTCATTTTCATAATTTTATTATTTATTTTTGTTTTTTTAAATCCACAGATATCTGTGTTTAAATCGTATTAATACGTATCAATAATTAAGGAACTCTTATAACCTCAAAAATGTTGTCACTTTATTCTCAGTTGATAAGCCCGATGTCCTATCCAGTCTTATTATATCTATGGTTTCCAGTCCAAAACAACATGATTAGAAATAGTAAAATACGATACAAAGTAAATCATAATATTATCTTATTTGACATATGAAATAATATACAATGACCAACCGACCTTGAAGCTTCAATTCATAGCGGGAGTTCGATAATGGTACTATATAAAAATCTGTGACTACATAGAAATCTGGGAAAAAAAGCAAGGAAAAAACACAATGCTTTGATAATTTATAATTGTAATAAAAATAATGATAAGATTAGAGACTAAATTGTAATTTTAACGTCATCCTAGATATTTATAGTAAACTAGCTGATCCCGTGCACTTCGTTTCCCGTTAAATGTACCAACTCTATATGACTCAAACATTGTTCAATGCGTTATTTAATATTCAGTGTATGATGTTCTAGATTTATCTTAACTTTTCTGTTGCCCAGAATAAAAATTCTGTTTCGCAGCAGTATATTATCAGGTAGGCAATTTACCTGTGGTAGATCGCAGACCCCGTGCTGTTTGTACGTAAGTGTATGATTCAACTCAAAAAGTACCAAAGTTATACCAAGTTTGACGTTTTGACTTAATTCCACATACCTATAAATCCTAACCTGACCTCACCGTACTAAAATCCGATGAAAAAAAAAAACCAAATTTAACCCTTTTTAAATTAGCGTATCTTCTTCCCATAGGTCTAATCTACACACCAATACACCATCATTCATTTATATATAAGATATATAGACAAAAAATAATAATACAAATCAACAAACATGCCTGATTAACCAATAGCAACCAATATAATATAATACACCATAGAGTAAATAAAGACAACGGTATCGAGTTCAAATCCCAGACATCAATAAATAGTTATTGCAGTTTTTCTAATTATTCAGTTGACTTTTTAAAAATTTTCTTTCGTAAAAACCTTCACCTATTAATTACGAACATCTTAAAAAAAAATTGAGACAAATCGGATTGATTGAAAAAGTTCATAGATAACATAAAACGATAATGTTTCAAAATAAAATGAATAATGTGCCAACTATTATATTTGTTTACTCTAAAGTTATAAGTGTCTATAATAAAAAAAAAAAAATTAAAAAATTATTTTTTAAAAACACACTTCTCTAAAAAAACAAAAAAATAATGAAAAATATATTTTTTTTTCGATTTTTATTATTATTTATATTATATTTTATTTTTATTTTTCTCCGCTAGAGGGCGCCACCGGTGTAACTCAGTTTTTGTCTCTAAATCTCTAACTAACATGAGTTAGGTCCATAATTTATGCTATAAACCCGCTCACCGACATTCTCTATCATTTAAAAAAAATTTGAGCAAAATCGGCCAAGCCGTTCTCAACTGATGCTATTTCTAATTTTTTGTCTCCATTTTTATATATAAAGATTAAATTTTTCAGGAAGAAAAATTTGAAATGTATCGATAGTGAATACTTACATGCGAAGTCTGAGTCCAAATATTCCGGGTCCGGTACTTATCGCTTGTGTACCTAATGCAAGTCGTGTAACTTCTTGAACGCTCTTGAACTCCAATTGAATCCTTGAAAATCTTGTATCTGTCGATGTAATTCGACATCATATATATATCTTCTCATACATCTTCTCTACGTTACCTATTATAATAATATTAGTATTACATAAGATTGTAAGATATAGAATAACTCTGTGATTGAAACCTATGGATAATTATGCGAGGAGTTGCATAGCGCATGTGCACATCGATAACCTAATAGACGCCAGACGATAATCTCGCCATATTGACAACAAAATATTAACAACAAATAAAGTAATACTATACCTAGGTAAGCTGTGGTTCCATCCGTAGTATTGTGGTGAGCCAAGGTGTCGCCACAATATTTCCTCTCGTTGGTTACACTGTCATCGTGGTTGGCATCACCACCCGGCCCGCCGGACGCCGAACACCGGGCCGGCCAGGTTAGTTTGTCATCTTTTATCTATGGTTTCAGGTTTGTCTGTCCGACTACGTCGACTCGTATACATCGTGTTTCGTTATTTCGCACCAACTCAACTTCTTACTGTCCGCCATTAACCACTAGATAGGAAAGTGTCTACCGTCCACATCTGCTCCCACAGCCCGACTTGCCCTTCCGGAAAACGGCAGACACGAATACAGTCGTGGTCAACGCGAAATCGTACAACCGCGAAAGACCGTAGCGACAATCATTTTGTTTACCTTCGACACGAAGTCCTCCCTCGCACACGTGTGCTCCGACCTCTCGACAAATTATTAACATCGTCCTTCCTTTTCTTTTTAATTAATAAATTGCTCAACAAGTAAATACAACTGTGTTATTTATTACGTAAACCGAAGTTGGCCCGCGATAGCTCTATATTGTCAGTGATTGAATATTTAACAGATTATTTACAAAATCTATCTATTCTGATTCAGTGTTATATAGAAAATTTCAGTCTTACCTTAATAAATATGGATAAGTGAGTATATTACATTTTGTTCTAGTCGTTGACCTGATACAACTATGCATCTTGTACCTTCTATTATTTGTATTTCAGAAGGTCAAAAAATCTGAAAATTAAAAACAAATGTAAAAGAAAGTACAAAGAAAAGAAGGAAAACCTGGAAATGCCGGAAAACCAAGGAAAGCCGGCTTTAGACTCTAATCATATTAATTGTGCTAGCGACAATGATAAATGCGAAGGGTATATTACATTTTGTTCTAGTCGTTGATATGATACAACTATGGGTATATTTCTACTTTACCGGACACCCTTTTTTTTGCAATTTTTTTTTTTGAAATTAATGTAGTTAAGCACGCTGAAAACGATGGTGAAGTCCAAATTTGGCGCACGGACTTAGTTTTGAAGTTATGGCCTAATGAAGTTCGCTATTTTGCGATTTTCACGCATTCGCGCAACACTAGTTTACCGCGCGCCTACTACGAATATTGATATTTATATATTATAATTGAAGGGGTGAAAGTTTTAAGGTATTTTACACATTATAGCAAAATATTAAATTGGCCCACTTGGGGAGGTGTTGTACAGCAAATCGGGGGATATTTTCGTTTTAATTGTCCGAGCGAGCGCAGCGAGCGAGTGACCCAGCTCGGTGAATCGGTGCAACAAAAATGCATTTTTTTTAAACCTGTGGCCCACTTGGGGAGGTGTTGCACAGCAAATCGGGGGATATTTTCGTTTTAATTGTCCGAGCGAGCGCAGCGAGCGAGTGACCCCGCTCGGTGAATCGGTGCAACAAAAATGCATTTTTTTTAAACCTGTGGCCCACTTGGGGAGGTGTTGCACAGCAAATCGGGGGATATTTTCGTTTTAATTGTCCGAGCGAGCGCAGCGAGCGAGTGACCCCGCTCGGTGAATCGGTGCAACAAAAATGCATTTTTTTTAAACCTGTGGCCTACTTTGCATACCAAATCGAGGTTAAGTAGAAAAGTTCCCATATTAGTAATAATATACAATTTAGTAATAATGAGACAGTCGTAAAATAGCCATAATAATATAAAAAAAAGAAATCGGTAAAACAAAAATACCACCCCGCGCGGGAGTACTGTGGCGCGGGTATATACGTAAATTTTAACTCGTTGAAATACATAGATTTCCGAACAATTTGCGAGGCTGCGAAATTAGATTTGTTCCAGTAGTTTTAGTAATTTTCTATTTAGGTACCTATAATTGCATGATTTTTTTCCTTTTTTGTTAATTTTTGCACGACAAATCCATTTGTATTTATCGATTGACGATTGATCTTTAACCAATCTCATCGGATGTCCTCGTATACAATTTTGTTCATTTGGCAATATACCAAATGACTGTAATTTGACAATCAAACCTAAGCCATCGTTCAGGCTTGACCATTCCATTAAATCAAACAAATTTATATGTTTCTCCATAGTATAGAATATTTAAAATGAAATTTAATGTTTTCGCGCCAGTAAAGAATAGGCGTGTAACCGGCGCTAACCGCAAGTAAACTGTTTAAGGTGCCTTTACACTGTATCGTGTCGTCCATAATTTAGGACGTAGTCCTAAAATTACAGTGTTTTGATTGGCTGAATATTGTGGTTACCTAATTAATATACCATGTTACCAGGCGTTACCAGAAAGTTGAAAAAAATTCAACTTGTCGTCGTGCGGTAACAGTCGTGGTTCAATCCTCCTGATAATAAATAATTTTGCCCTAGATTTCCTACTTATAAGCAGTGATTACAAGTTTTACGGCACTTATCGAAAAAAAAAAATATTAATATTCGTAATAGGCGCGGTAAAGTATAGTGTTGCGCAAATGCATGGAAATCGCAAAATAGCGAACTTCAAAAGGCTATAACTTCAAAACTAAGTCCGTGCGCCAAATTTGGACTTCACCATCGTTTTCAGCGTGCTTAACTACATAAGTTTAAAAAAAAAAAATTGCAAAAAAAAGGGTGTCCGGTAAAGTAGAAAAGTTCCCAACTATGCATCTAATACCTTCTATCATTTAAATTTCAGAGATTTTATAAATATGACCAAGGAAAATTCTGAAAAGCCGGTAACCCGGGCTGATTACCCTGATGATGGAGAATGTGATTGCGACGATGATGATTGTGAAGGGTGCTTTTGGCCCTGCGAAACATGCTCGTCAAACAAATGTGGACACGAATGCCGGTTAGTTAAATATGAAAAGAATGACAATTTAAAATAAAGAATTGTGTATTTTTAGGTTAATATTATTAAAGTAAAACCTTGTATATCAAAGCTGGGCAGTAACTAGTTAATAAGTTAAAAATTAAGTTATAAAATAATTTTTAATAACTTATCTTAATTACCTAGTTCAACAAAACTCTAATATTAGAAAATATTTAAGTTAGTACCTAACTAAGTTATTTCATTTCATAAACAATTGTAACTTAACTTAGTTATTTTCTTAAAATTTAAGTTATTTACAATGCATTGATTTTTCAACGAAAATTACATATTTTTAAGTAAATATCATTATGACATAACACGATATGCGTTCTATGGATACCTATATGCGTCTTGTATATTAAGTTTAAAATACTGCAGAACGCCCAGAAAGAGCATACCTAACTTGTAGGTAGTTTTCCTACAGTAGAAAAGTCAGTTGGAACCGATTGCATTTAGTTATAAGGGAATTTTACTGTAATAATATTGTATGTAATAAAAAGTAACTTTACTTTTACCGTAACTTAGCTTAGTTACTTTTTATTTTAGGAAACTTACTTTCACTATTTAAATAATTGGTTATCTTGCCCAGCTTTATCGTATAGGATATTAATAGCTCTAATTATTTACCTATACCTATTTCAACTTGTAAGACAGTGAAATATCACTTTACTTTTTGTACAAAAAACTACCAATACCTATTTAAATAGTAGTTCTTATAACTTCACTAATTTTAAAAGGTTTCAGAGCATTAAATTAATTTCTTCATGCATTTTTCCAAATAGAATTAATTGTGGTAGTTTTAAATTATAACTTAACTAGTTGACTAGACTCTAGACTTGTAGGCAATTTAAAATTAGTAATGTTTAAAGGCATATATGTCTCTTTCTTTAAAATTTAAAAGTCACCAATTTTCAAAAATTCTTCTTAAGTCTTCAAATAGGTAATGTACTTATTTTTTTTTTTGAACCTTTGATACAATGACTATTCATGCAATATTTTTAATGGTATTATAGCTAAAGAGTATAACAAGAAACAGATACCTACATAAATAAATGAGAATAAATAAACTATAGCATATTGTTTCTTGATATTTGATTATAATTAAAGTCAATCAAAATTATTTATGGTTTTCAGTACTCTATACTCTTTCTGCTATAACTCCTATTTCAATCAAATAAGATAAATTTAATTAAAAAATATAAAATTAAATATTAATATAATCAAACAAAACAAATTATGATGTATTGGTGTGTTTCATATCAATTTTTTGGTACATAAATTAATTAACTGGTTATTGATTTTTGAAATTGTACAAAATATAATAAATACAATTCAAAATTCTTCAAATATACTGTCATGTCTAACATATTTTACTTTTTTGTATGCATTTTTTGCTGCAAAAACTATCCACATTTTACTTTCTTGATTTTTAATCAAGTAAGTATGGTAGTTGAAATATAAAAAGTCTGAATTTTGAAAACTTCAAGAATTTGTGTAAAATAGGAAAACTGTAAAAATGTAACACAGTAATGATGAGTAGGTGGGTAATTTAGCTAGCTTTAATATTAAATATTAATGAGAGAGATTTGATATTAAACCCAAGTGGTATAACCACTTGAGTCCATTAAAACGTTGGCTTGAACAGTCCCAAAATTTCTATTTTTTAACTTTTCTCCTAAACTATGATAGATAGAAAGTTTCTTGATAACTCATTAAAAAGGGATTACCTATCAAGAAGATACTAAATTTGGAATCAAAATTTTTTACAGATAAAAAAAGAGTTGTTTCGATACGTAAGGACCCCTCTTCACCGTCACTACACATAGTTATAACTTATAATACGCAATATATAATATACTATTGTAATACTTTATCTACAATTAATTCACTACAAAGCTGTAAGGCTGATAAACATCAAAAAACGCCTGTTGTTTTAATTTTGTTTAATATTCTGTAATGAATTAACTATAGAAGATTAAGTTCTGAAAATCTTCACTGCACTTCGCCTAACCAATATGAATTTAAAAAGAACCCAAACAACAAAATTTGTTCTCCGGTTTCGGAGATAGATCTCACTAAATGAAAATGAAAATGATTTTTTGTATTGCTGTTCACTCCGATATTTTCCTGGATTCAAATTGTTGTACCGACCGCTTACGTGTTATATCAGTTGATAAATTTCTAAAAATTAAAAATCAAGAAAGTATACATGCCGATCCCTGACTTGGCAAGCGTTTTTTATTCCCATTGAATTTCATGCAGTTAATATAAAATATATGCTCTATCCTAATCTGGACCCTGATCCAGCACATTTCTAAATCATAATACCATTTTTTTTTTCCAGGACCAATCGAAATTGGAAACGCTATGAGGTATGGATAAGACAAGGAAGAAGTAACAATTAATAATAATTTGTATCTTAATAATACTGTAAAAATTTGAAATATAACTAAATACAATATAATTTTATAATAATATTCTAAACAAATTGTATATTTTATCAATCAACATTTGTTTTTCTTTAAGACCAGGTTTTTCAACCAAATTTATTTGAAAATTTGACAGATAAGGAAAAATTGATAATTATTGCTTTTTAAATGTGGGAATAACTAAATTTTGGGGTATTCAGCATATTATTTTTGACCAAACTGCCAAAGATAAGGGTTTTAATAATATATTCATAAACTACTTTTAGTTTGTGGAACAGTTAGGTTAGAGGTCATTATTTTAGATTAACTAAATGGTTCATAATTGAAAATGGGAAAAGTAGACCTAAACTCTAAAGCAGGCAAACACAACAAAAAAAATTTGTAATTTGAGGGCGTTTGAAAAAATGTAAAATGTTCATAAATATCATACTGTAATTCTCTTATAATAAGCTCAGATAGTCCAGGGGGTTGATATTTGACTATTCAATACTATATTAAACTAATCACCTTTAAAATTAAGTCTAGTCACTACTACTTTGTTAGATTCATTATCTTTTTAGTTTTCAATTTCATACTTCTGGAGGTAATTCAGTTGATGATACTTCACTAGTTTATTCTGAGGTCTTAATCCAGTTATTAATAATTCAGATATTATCAAAAGAAAGTTAAATAAATCTGTATTTGTGTTAACACATGACAATTCCCTTGAATTGTGTTCTCGGAATCGTATATTATAGTCTGTGTTCTGTGACTTGCGTTCTTCAGATAACTATCCAATAGGAACAATTGCATATTTGATTTCTTTCTTTTTTTTCTGAAATTAAAATTTTTTGTTCGACAGTATTTTTTTTTATTGGTGAAGGCGATTCCAATTTATATGCAATATTCAGAGTGCACTCTAAAATTGTAATCCATGCATGTTAAGTGGATAAACCGTTACTTAAAATTATTTTCATTGATTTTAAATTTGTGCATTTAGTCTAAATTGTTCATATTTTGTAGGGTTGCATTTACAAATAAAACAAACTTGGCTTGAAGATCCAGTTAAAGTGTTTTTTACTTTGCCATCAGTCATTGTCATTGCCAATAGACACAACATTATTATTTATATTTAATTTGAGGGGTTTTAGTTCTGAGATTACTTTTTTCACTTTTTCTGCTTAGATTTTGTTATTTCTATATTGTCTCTTTATTATATTAAATACATTTTTGTTGGTCTAGAATGTTTTTTCTTTTGAAATTGTTGTGGTTCCTGTAACTCGCAATGGGATCAAAGAAAATAAAAAAAACACTTGCGTTTGTTGTATTTTGACCGTTGAAAGTTTGGTAGTACTCACTATGACTAGAACTCCCATCACAACCCCACTTTCATAATAAATTTAAATCAGTATAAACTTCTTCTAGATTTACATTATTACCAAAGTCAAATGTTTCAAATATACTAGTCAGTGTATGGTCTAACACATGTTGAAGTGGAACAGAAGATTTTATTCACTAATTTCTATACCTTCAGAGTAACATCTTTCTTTTTCCAAACGAATGCGATCATAAGAAGGATAAATATTAGCTCCCACGTTGTTTAGCCCCAAGGCTAGTTTTATGATATACCTCTTTCGTCACGCATAAATCAACTATAAATGCTAGAGCTTCGATTTAAGACATAACAATTTTTATACATTTTTCTAATTTTAATTGCTTTGCACGGAGAATACTTGTAACAATATATGAGCAGCTGCACGTTTACTTTCAGAATACGAAGTACTTTTCTTAGCTCAAATTAATGTATCACTTGTTGTCGTTTTACTTAAATGTTCAGTTTCTCTACATTTGAACGTTCACTTAAATCACTGATTTACGTGGCGCCTACCACGACTTGTTGTTCGCTGCAGACCATTTCATTTTTTGTTTTTTATTTAAATGTTGAAATCTAATTGCAGCCAGTTTTATTTTTAATTAAAAATGTTGACATACACCGATTAAATTCTTTCCATTTTTTACTTACTTAACTACAAAATCCTTCAATTTTCCCCTTAACGCATTTTTCAAAGTCCTCATAAGAATCCCACTTATCGCCAAGTTTGTTATGCAAATACATGGTCAAGGTATTGCAAACCTCGCAATAAATTGTATGTAAAGGAGATCCAGAATTTTTTAATACTTCAAATAAACAATGATTTTTAACTCTTTTGTTAGTATGTCAGTTTTATCTTTAAGAAAAAATAAAAAAATTATTGTAATTAAAATCGTAATTCAAAATGGAGTAAGGTTGAGCAACTTTTTGATGTAGTATTATAAATAAAATATGATTATGTATTTATGTATAGGATAAAAATAAGGGCTACTATTAAGAGCTCCTAAATAATTGTTTTATTCAATTGTTTAGAATAAAAGTTTAATATCTTTAATTAGATGATATAATATATTCATATTATTTCATATTTTAATTGATGGTATAAATACAAATTATTACACTTACTTGGAACTATATGTTGATTCATTTTGATTTTTGATTTACAAAACTACAAAACTATACTTGTGTTCATATAAAATATCAAAAAACTAAAATGTATATTATTATAAGTGCACACCATGTGATTGCTTGAAATTAAAAAAATGTCTTATTATTATTTTTGGAACAAGCAATGAAGATTATTTTATAAATTTAATCAAAAAATACTTGTTATAGTCATAGCTTCATTTACATAAAAAACATCAAGGTGTATATTGAGTATATAAATCTAGATGAGTTGTCTATATCTTATGAAAAGCATATTAAGAAATAAGTCATTGACAAAGTGATCTTAATTTATTAAAATTACAATAAATATCCTTGGGTTCCGAAATGTTTTCTTAAATTATAAAGTCAAAAACAGTTAAAAAAAATTATATATATAAGAATGGTTACAATTGAAGTTTATTATTAATATGAGTTCAGTAAAATTAATTCTGAAGTAATTTTAGTTATATTAATTAGCTAAATAACAAAATCGACTTAAATTTAGGTTTTTTTTATACACATTTGTAATATTAAACTACTAATTTTAAAGAAAAAATAAATGAAAGTTATAATTAATTTATCAATTATGTGTAATATTTATGATTAATGCAATTGGTCTTCATCTTTTTTGTCATTATTTTTAACCGGTGAAGATGAAGACAGTGATTCAACATCCACATTGCTCACTTTCATCTATAACAAATATTTAAAATAACAGAATTGTTGAGAATGAGACGGATGTACAAACATAAAAAAAAACAAAAATGTATGCCTTGGAGCAGAATTAATTTGATAAAGCTATTGAAGTAGTCGGTATACCAATAGTCAAGATTGTTAGTCATGATGTAAGGTTGAAGAGGAGTAAATTTAAAATTTGCAATATAAAATAGATAATATTTAAAAGATGGTTTAAATTTGTGTTAATCCCATTTTCCTTAGCTAATATCATTGATTATGAATACTATATATTATATATACTAAAAAATACTGTATTTATAATCAAATGTTTTCATGAAAACAATAACGATTATTATAATACAAATTGCACAAATTTAATCTAAAAAGGTACACTCCACTAAATATTTGAGTATTATACTACTTACAAAAATGCTTTAGAACCACTTATGTAAGAGGATCATCTAGAAAGTAAGGTTGCAAAAGTTTTGTAGCCCAGGGAAAATTTATTTTCAAAATTTGCACACATGTAGTTCAGAGGAGATTGTAAAGATTCGATTGAAAGACTAAGCAAAACATCATAGTTAATCAGACGGCAGAAAAGTGGCTGAAGAAGTTGGCGGGAAAAGTTTACAACACGGGTAAACAAAAGCTGGTGCACAGACAAAATGCATTGAACTTGAAAGACAATTATGTTGAAAAATAGCTTATTATACCTATTTATGAAATATCCTGTAAGTTTTATGAAAATATAAGCATTTTTTAATTTAACATAAATACTGTAACCAAGATTTCTGGATGACCCTCGAAGTACAAACAATTCTAATTAAAATTATGCCAAAAGATTATTACAAAAATATTTATTGCACTAATGACTTGATTTAAAATCCTAAATTTTTTACTCTTGAATTAATATGGAAAAATGTCTATTATAGAAATATATAGAAATAATATATAATAAATAATATTTTACTAAACTAGACGTTAAGTTATATAACTTAAAACTTAAGTTTTCAAAAAACAATTACTTAATAATATATTTATTGTATAGTTAATTAATTGATTAAAGATTACATCTTACCATTTTTTCATAAGCATTGAAAGTTGTAAGTGTGGCTTCAGAGTTGTTGGAATTATTAGCTTTCACAAATTCATCACAAACCTTCATTATATTTAGTGCATCTGTAGTTGTAAGCATGTTATTTTTTTGCAATTCGTGATATTTTGAACAAATATTTTTGATGTAAGTATTCATACCCATTTGTAGCATTTCCCTGAATAAAGATTTTACAAAATTAGTCAGCTATTTTATATAGCATTATAATTATGAAATTATGATTTAATATACAGTCTAATAGCACTGCGCCCTCCATAAAAGCCATGAGATACTATGGAACATATGTCACATTTATCAATACACTCCATTCTTTCATCACCAAAATATTCCGAAAAAAATCTGTGTCTACACCTATTTTAATAAACAAAAATAATATAATGTACAATTTTAGGTACCAATTATATATCATACTTTAAACCTTCACAGAAATCTTTCATATAACGAGAATGAAGAAATACAAGGAAACTTTTTGCTGAATTTTGTATTTGTTCGATAGAATCGACTGAATTTATTGCAGCAGCCAACATAGATTCATTTTTTGGATTATAGTATGATGTCGCTCGCTTTGTTAAGTAAATTCGACATCGAGCTGGGTTACCGTCCTTTCCAGCTTGACCTGATTCATAATAATATGCCGAAACACTAGACGGCAAGCCCCAATGTACGACTAATCTTATATTCGCCTTTTTAATTTCCATTCCAGAAATGCTAGTCACAGCAAGAAGTTGATAATGTCCTTTCATAAACAAGTCTTTAACAGAACTACGATCAGCTTCCTCTAGCCCTGTTCAAAATAAAATCGTTAGTAGAATATTTAAATTAAATGAAACATATAATATACTTACCAGCATGATAGGCAGCAATCGAAATACCGTTTTGTTTTAGATCTTTGACTAAATGTTCAGTAACCTCTCGCGTCTTACAAAATATTAATCCAGAAGATCTTTCTGAGTCTGACTAAAAGATAACGTATTAGTATTAAAACGAATATATTGTAAAAATAAAATACTTACTCCGAGACTCAAATTTTCTTCAGTTAAATATTCGTCAATGAATTTCTTTAAATGAGGAACTGAAACTCCATTGGTATTGTCTTGAACTACATCATAAAATAGATTTGGTCTATAGCATGGAATCGAAAACCTTACACAAGTCTTAGGATCATCTTTAATATATAAAACACTCCTCAAGAAATCAACTACCTATTTGTAATACAATATATTTAAAAAAAATTGAACAGGTTCCATTAATAATAATTAATATTTTATTATCTACATCAACACCAGCTGTAGCTGTAACCACAATCCATGGAATTTCTTTGTATTTTTTTCTTAACATGCCCAGTGAATGATAATCATTATTCTTTTGACCATAAATCCATTGGTTTTCACAGTGTGTTTCATCAACGACAATATATGATAGATTGTTAGTTTGTACTAAGTGAGACAATAATTGCTGAAAAGAGAAAACAATCAATCATAATAATGATTTAATTTAATATAGTATTATATTGACTGACTTTGAAAGCCGAAGTTGGAGCTTGATCGGTAGTCACATAAAGAAAGTGGCATTTTCTAAGTTCAGATTGTAAATCACCATAAATACGCATTTTTTCACTGGTAGTTGTTAATGTAGTAATAACTTCAGTGTGAATTTCCATACTCTTCAAGCTATTAACTTGGTCCTACAGTAATATAATACTAATTACCTTCCTACTTATATTGAGTTATATACCTAAATAGATTATACCCAAATAATACCATAGCTTTTGTCAAAAAATCGACACTCACCATAATCCGTGCAACAAGAGGAATGATCACTATTGTCATTCTCTTCAAATAAATTAAAGAAGGCAGTTGATAACACATTGTCCTGCCATAACCACTCGGAAACGACACAATGACATCAGTATTTCCTTCAAGCACAATACTCGCCATTCAAAAAACAATAAGTAAAACAGGTACACATAACCAAATTGTATAACTCAATGGCAAAATGCATTCTGTGTAAGTACTTACTTTTCAATATTGTTAAGATAGCGTCCTTCTGCGTTTCGTTCTTAAAGTCGGAGTGATGGAAATAATGACGCAAGTATTTTAACAGTGATTCGTCGTCCATGTCAATAATGTTCTAATGGCTGGTGGGCAACAATTTTTTTCGTTCACCCGTACAATATTGTTATAAATGAGTTGAGTATTAATTGTGCAACGTGCACTGTGCAGGCATGAAAAAAAGAAGCGGATCGTCAGAGTCGGTCAGACGTCTACAACAATAAAGTGTTCAACAATCAATATCAAGCTGATGATGAAAGATGAAAGACGGAATGATACATTGATAAAGAAAAGAATGATACCCATAGATATTTAACATGGCCTAGCCATTCTTCCACGATGACACTAAATACCAATGATACCTAGGATTCTATGATACCTAGGTACTGTTAACTTATTGATCGAAGTCGCAGATTTCTATATATGTGTAGTATAGAAGTCTGTGATCATTTCATTTTTTGTTTTTTATTTAAATGTTGAAATCTAATTGCAGCCAGTTTTATTTTTAATTAAAAATGTTGACATACACCGATTAAATTCTTTCCATTTTTTACTTACTTAACTACAAAATCCTTCAATTTTCCCCTTAACGCATTTTTCAAAGTCCTCATAAGAATCCCACTTATCGCCAAGTTTGTTATGCAAATACATGGTCAAGGTATTGCAAACCTCGCAATAAATTGTATGTAAAGGAGATCCAGAATTTTTTAATACTTCAAATAAACAATGATTTTTAACTCTTTTGTTAGTATGTCAGTTTTATCTTTAAGAAAAAATAAAAAAATTATTGTAATTAAAATCGTAATTCAAAATGGAGTAAGGTTGAGCAACTTTTTGATGTAGTATTATAAATAAAATATGATTATGTATTTATGTATAGGATAAAAATAAGGGCTACTATTAAGAGCTCCTAAATAATTGTTTTATTCAATTGTTTAGAATAAAAGTTTAATATCTTTAATTAGATGATATAATATATTCATATTATTTCATATTTTAATTGATGGTATAAATACAAATTATTACACTTACTTGGAACTATATGTTGATTCATTTTGATTTTTGATTTACAAAACTACAAAACTATACTTGTGTTCATATAAAATATCAAAAAACTAAAATGTATATTATTATAAGTGCACACCATGTGATTGCTTGAAATTAAAAAAATGTCTTATTATTATTTTTGGAACAAGCAATGAAGATTATTTTATAAATTTAATCAAAAAATACTTGTTATAGTCATAGCTTCATTTACATAAAAAACATCAAGGTGTATATTGAGTATATAAATCTAGATGAGTTGTCTATATCTTATGAAAAGCATATTAAGAAATAAGTCATTGACAAAGTGATCTTAATTTATTAAAATTACAATAAATATCCTTGGGTTCCGAAATGTTTTCTTAAATTATAAAGTCAAAAACAGTTAAAAAAAATTATATATATAAGAATGGTTACAATTGAAGTTTATTATTAATATGAGTTCAGTAAAATTAATTCTGAAGTAATTTTAGTTATATTAATTAGCTAAATAACAAAATCGACTTAAATTTAGGTTTTTTTTATACACATTTGTAATATTAAACTACTAATTTTAAAGAAAAAATAAATGAAAGTTATAATTAATTTATCAATTATGTGTAATATTTATGATTAATGCAATTGGTCTTCATCTTTTTTGTCATTATTTTTAACCGGTGAAGATGAAGACAGTGATTCAACATCCACATTGCTCACTTTCATCTATAACAAATATTTAAAATAACAGAATTGTTGAGAATGAGACGGATGTACAAACATAAAAAAAAACAAAAATGTATGCCTTGGAGCAGAATTAATTTGATAAAGCTATTGAAGTAGTCGGTATACCAATAGTCAAGATTGTTAGTCATGATGTAAGGTTGAAGAGGAGTAAATTTAAAATTTGCAATATAAAATAGATAATATTTAAAAGATGGTTTAAATTTGTGTTAATCCCATTTTCCTTAGCTAATATCATTGATTATGAATACTATATATTATATATACTAAAAAATACTGTATTTATAATCAAATGTTTTCATGAAAACAATAACGATTATTATAATACAAATTGCACAAATTTAATCTAAAAAGGTACACTCCACTAAATATTTGAGTATTATACTACTTACAAAAATGCTTTAGAACCACTTATGTAAGAGGATCATCTAGAAAGTAAGGTTGCAAAAGTTTTGTAGCCCAGGGAAAATTTATTTTCAAAATTTGCACACATGTAGTTCAGAGGAGATTGTAAAGATTCGATTGAAAGACTAAGCAAAACATCATAGTTAATCAGACGGCAGAAAAGTGGCTGAAGAAGTTGGCGGGAAAAGTTTACAACACGGGTAAACAAAAGCTGGTGCACAGACAAAATGCATTGAACTTGAAAGACAATTATGTTGAAAAATAGCTTATTATACCTATTTATGAAATATCCTGTAAGTTTTATGAAAATATAAGCATTTTTTAATTTAACATAAATACTGTAACCAAGATTTCTGGATGACCCTCGAAGTACAAACAATTCTAATTAAAATTATGCCAAAAGATTATTACAAAAATATTTATTGCACTAATGACTTGATTTAAAATCCTAAATTTTTTACTCTTGAATTAATATGGAAAAATGTCTATTATAGAAATATATAGAAATAATATATAATAAATAATATTTTACTAAACTAGACGTTAAGTTATATAACTTAAAACTTAAGTTTTCAAAAAACAATTACTTAATAATATATTTATTGTATAGTTAATTAATTGATTAAAGATTACATCTTACCATTTTTTCATAAGCATTGAAAGTTGTAAGTGTGGCTTCAGAGTTGTTGGAATTATTAGCTTTCACAAATTCATCACAAACCTTCATTATATTTAGTGCATCTGTAGTTGTAAGCATGTTATTTTTTTGCAATTCGTGATATTTTGAACAAATATTTTTGATGTAAGTATTCATACCCATTTGTAGCATTTCCCTGAATAAAGATTTTACAAAATTAGTCAGCTATTTTATATAGCATTATAATTATGAAATTATGATTTAATATACAGTCTAATAGCACTGCGCCCTCCATAAAAGCCATGAGATACTATGGAACATATGTCACATTTATCAATACACTCCATTCTTTCATCACCAAAATATTCCGAAAAAAATCTGTGTCTACACCTATTTTAATAAACAAAAATAATATAATGTACAATTTTAGGTACCAATTATATATCATACTTTAAACCTTCACAGAAATCTTTCATATAACGAGAATGAAGAAATACAAGGAAACTTTTTGCTGAATTTTGTATTTGTTCGATAGAATCGACTGAATTTATTGCAGCAGCCAACATAGATTCATTTTTTGGATTATAGTATGATGTCGCTCGCTTTGTTAAGTAAATTCGACATCGAGCTGGGTTACCGTCCTTTCCAGCTTGACCTGATTCATAATAATATGCCGAAACACTAGACGGCAAGCCCCAATGTACGACTAATCTTATATTCGCCTTTTTAATTTCCATTCCAGAAATGCTAGTCACAGCAAGAAGTTGATAATGTCCTTTCATAAACAAGTCTTTAACAGAACTACGATCAGCTTCCTCTAGCCCTGTTCAAAATAAAATCGTTAGTAGAATATTTAAATTAAATGAAACATATAATATACTTACCAGCATGATAGGCAGCAATCGAAATACCGTTTTGTTTTAGATCTTTGACTAAATGTTCAGTAACCTCTCGCGTCTTACAAAATATTAATCCAGAAGATCTTTCTGAGTCTGACTAAAAGATAACGTATTAGTATTAAAACGAATATATTGTAAAAATAAAATACTTACTCCGAGACTCAAATTTTCTTCAGTTAAATATTCGTCAATGAATTTCTTTAAATGAGGAACTGAAACTCCATTGGTATTGTCTTGAACTACATCATAAAATAGATTTGGTCTATAGCATGGAATCGAAAACCTTACACAAGTCTTAGGATCATCTTTAATATATAAAACACTCCTCAAGAAATCAACTACCTATTTGTAATACAATATATTTAAAAAAAATTGAACAGGTTCCATTAATAATAATTAATATTTTATTATCTACATCAACACCAGCTGTAGCTGTAACCACAATCCATGGAATTTCTTTGTATTTTTTTCTTAACATGCCCAGTGAATGATAATCATTATTCTTTTGACCATAAATCCATTGGTTTTCACAGTGTGTTTCATCAACGACAATATATGATAGATTGTTAGTTTGTACTAAGTGAGACAATAATTGCTGAAAAGAGAAAACAATCAATCATAATAATGATTTAATTTAATATAGTATTATATTGACTGACTTTGAAAGCCGAAGTTGGAGCTTGATCGGTAGTCACATAAAGAAAGTGGCATTTTCTAAGTTCAGATTGTAAATCACCATAAATACGCATTTTTTCACTGGTAGTTGTTAATGTAGTAATAACTTCAGTGTGAATTTCCATACTCTTCAAGCTATTAACTTGGTCCTACAGTAATATAATACTAATTACCTTCCTACTTATATTGAGTTATATACCTAAATAGATTATACCCAAATAATACCATAGCTTTTGTCAAAAAATCGACACTCACCATAATCCGTGCAACAAGAGGAATGATCACTATTGTCATTCTCTTCAAATAAATTAAAGAAGGCAGTTGATAACACATTGTCCTGCCATAACCACTCGGAAACGACACAATGACATCAGTATTTCCTTCAAGCACAATACTCGCCATTCAAAAAACAATAAGTAAAACAGGTACACATAACCAAATTGTATAACTCAATGGCAAAATGCATTCTGTGTAAGTACTTACTTTTCAATATTGTTAAGATAGCGTCCTTCTGCGTTTCGTTCTTAAAGTCGGAGTGATGGAAATAATGACGCAAGTATTTTAACAGTGATTCGTCGTCCATGTCAATAATGTTCTAATGGCTGGTGGGCAACAATTTTTTTCGTTCACCCGTACAATATTGTTATAAATGAGTTGAGTATTAATTGTGCAACGTGCACTGTGCAGGCATGAAAAAAAGAAGCGGATCGTCAGAGTCGGTCAGACGTCTACAACAATAAAGTGTTCAACAATCAATATCAAGCTGATGATGAAAGATGAAAGACGGAATGATACATTGATAAAGAAAAGAATGATACCCATAGATATTTAACATGGCCTAGCCATTCTTCCACGATGACACTAAATACCAATGATACCTAGGATTCTATGATACCTAGGTACTGTTAACTTATTGATCGAAGTCGCAGATTTCTATATATGTGTAGTATAGAAGTCTGTGATCGAAGTGTAGTAACGATCATAGACCTATTAACTTATAATAGGTCTATGGTAACGATAGTGGTGTTTGGTTAGTACCATGATGTAGGTAAAACGGTGTAGTCACTATCAATTGTACGTATGAGAAATAAATTTTTTACGGCAGTTCAGTTACACAATTGTCCACCAGAAAGCGCTAAAAAGGACGGTTTCGGAAATATTTTATAAGCAATATGGTGTATTTCAGTATATTTATTTTGAATAATACACATAATATTATTAACATATTGATTAAAATTGTTTATTTATATTTTATTATTCTTTAGTACCACACTACCACATTGTGGAACTATTACTATCTACCTAAAACTTATTATTATTTTTAAACATATTTCATATAGTTCTAATTAATATGCCTATATTCCTGCCTGTACATCTGGCTATATGAGTAATACTAAAAAAATAAAAGCAGAAGGGAAGAATGTACCACCTATGTTCCATCCACGATCCACCACAATAATACTTACCCAATAGTTATTTTTTTGTTTTAAATTATAATAATATTTTGTGTACTTATGTACTTTAACATACCTGTAACCCAACTTAACAAGTTGACCACCATGAGGACTCTGGTGTCCACAATTTTTTTTATTATTCTACTGATCTTTATATAACATTTTTTTTTAAGACAAAAGAAAACTATACAATACATATAAGTTTATAACTGAATACTAAAATAATTAAATATACAATTAATTATCCATCACACCAATAATAGTGAACTGTTTTAATACAAATTTAATGTTTGCATAATGTAATTTTTTTCAACATTTTCTCCAGGGTTCTTACATTCTAAGTTAACTTTTAGAGACATTATATTTTTAAGAAGATTAACAAGTACAATGTATGATAGGTAGTCTAAATTCTTTATTTATTAATAACCAACTGGCATAAGCCCGGCCCTTTAACAAGAAAAAAAACATTGCATAATAATTGGCTAATATGAAACTAATAACAGAGGGATAAATAAAAATACAACTATAAAAGATATAGTTGAAAGATATCAAAAAAAAAATAACAAAAAGAGAATATAATATCTATAAAAACAAAAATATAAAATTAATTAATCAAATTATGTTGTATTCTGCCAATAATTTATTTTTAATTTTATAATTAAATCATCCATAAATTTGAGAGGTTCATAAATGTAAAATATAATTTTAAAAAGCTACATAACAGCTAATACAAGTATTCTTTTATAAACATGAACATTTTAAAATTATTTATTCTACAGGACTTACTATCTGTATGGGATAATAAAATACCACTGAAAGATAGGAACTTATATGTAAATAGTATTATAAATATTATATAGTGCATATTTGATTAGATTTATTATAAATTTGAATGAACACTGAAGTCTGAAATTTTAAAACTTTACCGAGGATAAAACGCAAAACGGCATTACAATTCGGCCTTCTCGAAAGGCTGTTGATCGGCCTTTTTAGAGCTACCTACCTGGCGGAAGGCGCTCTAACCAAGATTCCGTCTGTTTAGGACTCATTTTAAACTCGAGTGACTACACCGTTTGACCTACATCGTAGTTAGTACCTTGCATAAACCATTGACAGTCGTGGAGCCACTATGGCTAAAATGTTTGGGGGGGGGGGGGGGGCTGTTCTGAATTTTTGATTTGGGCACCCGCAGATAGTAGCATAGAACAATGTATTAGCGGATAACATTGAATTGAGTTCCAAATATTGAATTGAGTCCCGCAAATACTTTTGGGTTATCTGAGTTGAGTCCGACCAATATTTTTAGGTCGTTCGAGTTGAGTCCCTTCAGCCTATTACCGTTACCCAGACTACAACGCGTGGAGGTTGGCTGAGTAGTCTCCCAAAAAAATAGTGTGATAATATTTGTTTAATCATAATAATAATAAAAATAAGTATAAATATTTAAATAGTTAATTAATTAAAAAATATTAAAAATAATAATTATTATGCATGATTGTATAGGTACACTGTTTTTTTTTACCGTATAATAAATAATAATATGTATAAAGAGTCAATTAAAAATAACAATAATTATGTGTAATATAATAATGTTAATAATTAAATAGATTTTTTTTTATCATATAATAATAATAAGTATAAAGAAATTATGACGTAATATAATAATGTTAATAATTAAATACCTATTTTTTTTTATTCATATAATAATAATAAGTATAAGAAAATTATGTGTAATAAAATAATGTTAATAATAAAATAGTTGCTGGTAAAAATTTAAATGATATATATTTTAAAAAGTCAAATCTGCCAATTTTCATATTTATGTAATTGTTTATCTGCTCCAGTAAAAAAATTCTTTTTCTAATGTTTTTTTACATGGTCTCTTTGCTTTGCTTCTTAGTTTTATATATGTATCGGAAGAGTGTCCACAAGAATAAAAATATTTGGATATCCCATGAATATCCTTTATCGTTGCGTATCCGGTAAAATATGATGACATGATGTGCAAGGTTCAAAGTATTTCAGGTAGTTATGACATTTTACCTATAAGGACTCAATTCAAAGATATTAAGATAATACCTTGGACTCAATTCAAACACATAAAAGTAGCATGGACTCAATTCAATATCACCGGTATTAGCCATGTCCAGTCGGGGGATGGAGGTCTCTCTTTCAATACAGGTGTTTGCCCGGAGAGAAGTGCCACCCTTGACCGAAATTCGAACCGGCGACGATGCGCAAATGCAACCGACGCCTTAGTACTAATAACAGATGAATAAAAAAAAAACCAAATTTAACCATTTTCAAATTAGCCTGTCTTCTTATCAGATATCTAATCTACACACATGCATTAATTTATTTATACATATATTGACAAAATCCAATAATACAAATCAACAAAGATGCCAGAATGCCAGATTCGGAAAAAATCGGACCAGCCGTTCTCGAGTTTTATCGAGACTAACAAACAGCAATTATTAATTTTTATATATAAGGATATAGATTACGAGGTTTGAAATTATTTATTATAATATTATATTAATTATTTTAGTGATAAGACGTATATATTTAATATTAAAAGTATATATTTGTTATTAAATATTAATAATGTGGTAACTAACTATCTTTTAAAAAATATTGATCAATCAATTCCATGTGGTTGTCAGTAATATTTTAGTCTGGTGATTATTTTTTCTGGATCGAGGTTATTCGGCGGGGGGGTTTCCAGGGATTTTTATTCCTCAATTCACTGTCTATATATTATTATAATCCAGTGCATTACTATAAAATTATGGATAATAATCTTACCAATATACCAACATAAACATTGCATTCAAACAAATAGGTACCTACATGCATATAGGCATAGGTACAGGCGTACAGCTAATGATATTTATTATAGCCCATGGGCACCATATTATAATTATTAACTTTAAATAAAACTGAAATTATTTTATTTTTTCCAAAAAAAAAAGAGAATACAGTTGAAATTTTAAAGGTCTATACTTTAATAAACAATTAAATTATTTATTTTGGGGGGGGGGGCTATTACAAGTTTTTTTGTAAGTGTGGTTAATTTTTGTGGGCCCCACGCTGTCATTTATTGGTATTATTATTCATAAGTACCCAAGTTAGAAACAAAATATACCAAGTCCAAAAACACCAAATAGAAAAAGAAATGAACAATACATAGTTAGGATCATTACATGGAATGCCTATGGGATAGTACAGCGTAAACAAGAGGTTGAAGACCTCCTACATAGTGATAAAATCTATATAGCTCTTATAATCAGAAATACACTTTACAACGCGGACCTTCTTGAAGATAAGAAACTACCAAACGTTCATCACATTACATCCCAGTGGCCAGTGGTAAAACTCGTGGTGGCTCTGCTGTAATAATTAAAGAATTCATACGAAAAATACTCTGAATAGAATATATACAGAACTGGACACGAGATGAATATTGTGGTTACTGGTTACGAAATGTAGTACAACAGGTCAATCTCCCACACCCTCCAACCTTGTCGTGTCCAGTCCTGCATATCTTAGTCCGTGTTCACATATCAATTAACTTATGAGTAAAAATTAAAATCATTACAGTTGCCTCTTATCAGTTGATTGATATAATTGTACATCATTGTAAAATCAATACATTCATCGTTCCGCTCAGAATCTAAAATAATTTTAGATATACAAATGGTTGATATCAATCTTACATATTAGAAATATTATAACATTATTTTAGTTTTCTCCCAAATTCTAGCTTATCTGAATAGCATACGGTGTACTTTTTATCTGGATTCATCAGTTACCTCTTAGCTATCACATTTTTGTGTTGTACCTACTGTTGACTTATACATTTTAGTCCATGTAAGTTTATAAATTGAAATGAATAGTTCAGAAATTCGTATTAATCAGTGAGTTCTTTAAAAAATTACTTCTCCAAAAATACTGAAAAAGTATTTCACTAGTGATAGAAAACTAATATTAGTTGTCAATTTCTGACACGGGGGTAATATTGGTTTTTTAAGCGCGTCAGGTATAACATGGTTAGGGATAGAGGGACAGACATTTTATATGAATTTCCTTTTAGACGGATTTATGAGTCTGCGTATTTGTATGAAAT